GTCTTTTCCTAGTTTGACAGCTGTTTCTGTTCTCCAGTGCCGCTCTAACAGAAAATACCACAAATGGGTGGCTTTAATAAAGAGGGATTTTTTTTTTTTTTCTCTTACAGTTTAGGAGGCTAAGAGTCCAAGTTCAAAATAGCAAGCTCTAGGGGCTGGGTGAAAACCTCTCAACTTTGGGCCTCAGCTCTGCCTCTTGCTCCTGGCCCACTGAAGCTGGAGACTCAGGCAGCTGCTGGCTGCTGAGGCTGACAAGTCCAAGGTTGACAAGTAAAAAGGGCACAGTCCCAAGAGTATCAAACAACATGGCAGGCCACTAATTCAAGTCCAGAAAAAGTCCCAAGATCAGCTTGACCTGGCAGGTTGCTGAATGAAGACTCGGCTACATGCAGGGTCCCGGTGTGCCAACAAGCTGCTGAGACCTTTCTCAAGGCTTCTCCTTATATACCGGAAGCAGACCACATCCCCAGGGCAGCTATGCAGCTGCTCCAGTAGATTCCCCCATGGAGCTGATTATCAGTCTCAGCATGGGGAATGACTACATCCATCACTCAAAACCAGGTCCAGCCAAACTGACACATAACCTTAACTACCATAATAGCTCATTTTGTTTTATTGCTGAATAATATTCTATTGTATGTATATAACAGTTTGTTTATCCATTCACCTATTGAAGGACATCTTGTTTGCTTCCGATTTTTGGCAATATGAATAAAGCAGTATAAACATTTGTGTGGACATAAGTTTTCAGCTCATCTGGGTAAATACCTAGAAGTGTGATTGCTGGATTGTATGATAAGCCTATGTTGTCATTGTTAGGTGCCACCAAGTTAGTTTGGACCCATAGTGATGCCAGTATACATGACAGAATGAAACACTGCCTGGTTCCATGGGATCCTCACAACTGTTGCTATGTTTGAGCCCATTATTGCAATCACTGTGTCAGTCGATCTTATTGAGGGTCTTTTTACTTTTTACTGACCCTGTACTTTACCAAGTGTGATGTCCTTCTTCAGAGACTGATCCCTCCTGAAATAATGCCTTTGAATTATGGCGTTGGTAAAGAATATTGAATACATGGTGGACTGTCAGAAGAATAAAAGGAGCTCTAGTGGCATAGTGCCTAAGACATTTGACTGCTAACCAGAAGGTTGGTGGTTCAAACCCACCAGCCACTCCATGGAAGGATGATGAGGCAATCTACTTCCATAAAGGTGTACTGCCTCAGAAATCAGTGGGGGTTGTTATGAGTCAGAATTGACTTGATGGCGGTGAGTTTGGGTTTTTTTTTTTGGTCAGAAGAATGAAAATATCTGTCTTGTAAGAAGTACAATCAGAATGCTTCTTAGAAGCAAGGGTAGCAAGACTTATCTCTCCAGCCTATGTTTAACTCTGTAAAAAACTATCAACCTGTCTTCCAAAGACTCCACCATTTTGCATTTAGCGCTGTCAGTACTTTGGATTTTAGCCCTTATAATAAATGTGCAGAGTCCCTGGGTGATGCAAATGGTTAACTGCTTGACTACCAGCTGAAACTTTGGTGGCTCAAACTCACCTGGAGGCACCTCCAGAGGCAGGCCTGGAGATCTGCTTTCAGAAGGTTGCACCCTTGACAATCCTGTGGTGCAATTCTCCTCTGCACACATGGCATCTCTGGGAGTCTGAATGGGCCTGATGGTAACTGACAACAGCAGCGACAGGTGTGGAGTAGCATCTCACTGCTTTAATTGGCAACACCCTTATGTCATATGGCGTGGAGTGTCTTTGATTGTGCTTATTTGCCATTTGTAGATCTTCTTTGAGGAGCTCTGGTAGTGCAGTGCCTAAGGCACTTGACTGCTAACCAGAAGGCTGGTGGTTCAAACTCCCCAGCCACTCCTCAGAAGGAAGGTTGGGCAATCTACTTCCGTAGTGATACTGCATCGGAAACCCAAGGAGGGGTCGCTATGAGTCGGGTCCAACTTGATGACACATAACAACAACAACAACAGATCTTCTTTGATGAGATGTCCAAATATTTTGTCTACTTTTAAACTGAGTCACTTGTTTCTTGTTGAGTTTTAAGAATTAGTTGCATACAACTTGTATCCATTAGTTGGATACAAGTCCTTCATTGGATATATGTTTTGCAGATATTTTTTCTCAGTCCATGGCTTATCTTTTCATTTCCTTTACAGTGTCTTTCACAGAGCAGAAGTTTTAAATTTCAATGAAATACAAGTTATCAATATTTTCTTTCATAGATCATGCTTTCGGTGGTGTATGTAAAAATCCACAGCCAAACACAAGAGCAGCTGGGTTTTCTCCTGTGTTATCTTCTGAATGTTTTACAGGTCTGTGATACATTTGAGTTGAATTTTGTGCAAGGGGAAAAGCCTCTTTCTAGAGTCTTTCATTTTTTTTTTTTCCTTTTTGGTATTTGGATGCACTGTTTTTCTAACATCACTTGTTAACAAGACTGTATTTTCTCCATTGAATTACCCTTGCTCCTTTGTGAAATATCAGTTGAGCATATATGCATGGTCACTACTCATCTGTCAGTTTGTCATCCTGTGGTGGCTTGTGTGTTGCTGTGAGTCTGGTGGTTATACCACAGGTATTTCAAATACCGCTAGGGCCACCCATGGTAGAAAAGTTTCCAAGAATTGGCCAGTAAAAAACCTCCATGAATATCAGTGAAGCACTGTCTGATATAGTACTGTTATGAATAGCCCTGAAACATTGTCTGATATAGTGATGGAATATGAGCCTCACAGGTCAGAAGACACTCAAAATATGGCTGGGGAAGAGCTGCCTCCTCAGAGTAGAGCCAACCCTAATGACGTGGATGGACTAAAGCTTTTGGGATCTCCATTTGCTGATGTGGCATGACTCAGAATGGGAAGAAACAGCTGCAAACATCCGTTAATAATCAGAACATGGAATGTACAAAGTATGAATTAGGAAAACCAGAAGTTGTCAAAAATAAAATGGAACACAAAAAGATCAATATCCTAGGCATTCAAAAAAACTTACTGACATTGAGTCAGATCTGATTCATAGAGACCTCTCCTTGGGTTTCTGAGGTGGTATCACTATGGAAGTAGATTGCCCAATCTTCCTTCTGAGGAGTGCTTGGTGGGTTTGAACTGCCAGCCTTCTGGTTAGCAGTCAAAAGCCTTAGGTGACCTGAAATGGATGGATTTTGGCCATTTTGAATCAGACAATCATATGCTCTACCATGGCAGAAATGAAAAATTGAAGAGGAATGATGTACCATTTATCATCACAAAGAATGTTTCGAGATGTATTCTGAAGTACAATGTTGTCAGTAGTAGGATAATATCCATATGTCTACAAGGAAGACTAGTTGATATCAGTCAAATTTATGCAGCAACCACCAAAGCCAAAGGCAAGGAAATTGAAGATTTTAACCATCTTCTGC